ATATATATAAATAAATAAAATAAAACGAGAAATGTATATTAACATTTCTAATGTACAGAGCCCTCATCTCCACCAAGACTGGACAGTGTTGGGGATTCTTTCTTCCTGGTCAATAGTTTTTTTCCCTATGCACCTGTCAAAGAGACTTGGTGTGCAACAACCTGTTAACTGGGAATTTAAAGTCATTCATACTCGGGAGTGAATGGAGCTAGGTGAATGGATTGTCCCCGTTTCTCATATTACTCCATCAAGTGTCCGTATCAACAGCCATATACAAAGAAATTCCTGTGACACGCAGGTGCCGGGTCCTATGCTGAAGCAGATGCCCTCTCCTGGTGGCAGTGTGGGTGGAGTGGTTGGAGGTGTCAGTGGTGTCAGTGGCGTTGGAGGTGTCGGAGGGGTTGGTGGAGTGTTCCCTCCTAATCAGATTTCCCCACAGCAGCTCGCAATGCTCAGCAACATTTACCCGCACATGCAGCAGTTCCATCTGGTACGTGACTAAATGTCAGATCAGCTGATTGATGTACTGATCACTTTGAGTTAGATATTTCCTTTTTGTAGAGCTGCAAAGATGAACCATTAGTTTTCAACCGTTGAATCAAACGCCAACTTTTTTCGATTAATCGCTGCGAGTAATTTTTTCAGAAACAAAAAACGAAATTCTCTAATTCCAGCTTTTAAATGTGATTATTTTCTGGTTGTTTATCAGTAAACTCAATATATTTGAGTGACATTTTTCGGACATCTTGGGCTTTGGGGAAACACCGATCATCATTTTATAGACGAAAGGACTTATTGATAAATCATGAAAATAATCGTCACATTAATCCAACATTGAACATAATCGTTATTTGCAGCCCTGCGTTGTCTGTTTGGTACAACGGTCGGACTTTGCTTAATCTGTATTGACTATCTTAAAATACATGGCGACTTGTAATAACCCACCCACAGTGTCTGTATGTGAGCGCGAGCCAATGTATTCTTTGTTTACCCCCATTTCTGCCCACCAACCCACAGGCTTGTCAGCTCCTGCTACAGCAGCAACAACAACAGCAGCAGCAACAGCTCCTGCAGAACCAGAGGAAGTTCCCTCAGCCTCTAAGACAACAGCCAGACCCACAGCAGGTGAGCATGATCATGGTATATACCATACCATCACCAGAACCTCTGCTGCAAAAACTGTACTTCATTTATTTTCTTGAATCTTGTCCGTCTCAGCTGGCGAGGATTATGGCTATTCTGCAGCAGCAGAGGCAGCATCAGCAGGGTGGAGTCGGAGGAGCAGCAGCAGGAGGAGGGGGCTCTAAACTGTCCCCCTCTCACCTGGGGGGAGGCCTATCCAAACAGCCCATGGTAGACCCCCTTACACATCCTGGAATGGGGGGGCCCTTATCGGACATTCATGCCAAAACGCAAGGGATGTACTCTGGTGAGTACAACAGGCGGATCGTTTGTGGGTTAAGCTCCACTGGGGATGCAGTCAGCTGTATAAATAAAACCAGTGTACGGTTTTAATGTTTTCAGTGGTGTTAGTTAGGCTGCCGAAGTAGCATCTTAGAACCTATCTCAGGGTACATGAAGTCAGAAAATCAACAATGATTTAGGATCAAGTGTGCTTTTGGGAAATGGCATCGGTACCCTGACGCTGGGGTGTCTGTTTGACTAGGTGAGCCAATAAGAACCTCTACTAATCCATCTGATTCGTGTTAGCTTTAAGGGTTGGGTCACAATTTTCAAATAGTCATTCAATTATAAAAATCGAGTAGTTTATGTGACTTATTGTCTTAAAAAAATATATTCCCCCTTGTTTTTACTGGCTCCGGGTAGTGGTGGTAGATCTTCGAAGAATGTCCGAATAGTTTCCTGCAAATATCTAATAATATTTTTGCTTTGAAATGCCCATCCCTGTTACCTTTGTAACCTTTGTAACGGGCCTTAGTCTTGGTGCAGTCATAGAGATACTTGGGCTGTATTGAACTGAACATTAGCTGAATGTGATGTGCTCATGAATGTTTGTGGTTTTCCTCTTGCCAGGGCTTGCCCCTGGTGGTAACCTGTCGGGACTGGAGCTCGGTCCCATGATGGGAGGGATGAAGGACACGGGAGGACAGCAATCCCGCTTCAAGTGGATGATGGAGGGACACTCCCCAGCTCCTTCTCCCCCTGACACAGCCCTCCACAAGAATGGTAGGTTAGCAGATGGTAACAGGATTTTTGCAAAGGCAAATTCACACTTGGGGAAAGCACACCTCCCGGGCTGTTGTCAATCTGGTCTTAACTGCGTTTGTAATCACCTTCACTCAGTGTTTCTGAATGAACCACTGCGAATCAAAGTGATTTGAGGTTTGACTTTTTTTTTTTTTCCCCTCTCCTGTCTGCTCTTCCCAAGGCCCTTTACCCAGTGCTATAAAGGGGAGGGGAGGGTCCCCTTATTCCCAGTATGAAATGCTGGGCAGTGATGGTTTGGGGATTCCCCCTCAAGGTTCCGCAGACAACTGGCATCGGACCCCTGGGAGTAAAATGGGGAACAAACCTGCCACATCCAGCTGGCCTCCAGGTGAACATGAATTAGGATTAGAGAAGGAGACGGTAGTACAATTTGGTGTTTGGATTAGAAAATAGCAAAACAGCATATCATTTCAATCTATCGATAAGTTTTCTGTTCTCCGATGACAGAGTTCCAGCCCGGTGTGCCCTGGAAGGGAATCCAGAGCAGTGGTGACCCAGAGTCTGACCCATACATGACCCCTGGTAGTGTTCTTGGTTCCCCAGGACCCCAGAGCCTCAACGACTCTGACCACCAGTTACTGCGAGACAACATAGGTATCTGACTGAATGTGTCAAATCTTTTTAAAATGAGCATATCTGTTGGTTTTACTTGAAAGCGTGCTCCAGTGCCATTTATCGACTTAAGTCTCAGGGCGAAGGGTTAACAGTTCTCCTCACAGGCTCCATCTGCGGTCCAGCTGTACTCTGGTGGCCTTGTCTTGTTTACCACAGGATGTGTTTCTTTCAGATAACGTTGTAATGTTTTCTAGGGCCAAACCCCTCCCTCAACACCTCGCTGCCTTCACCTGGTGCCTGGCCCTACAGTGCCTCAGACAGCCCCCTCAGCAATGCACACAGCACAGGTATATCTTTGGATTTGTTAGATTTTTATTTGATACTTGGTTTCCTTTTAACTCTCCTTCTTATCTTATCAGCTCAGTTGTGTCTGCACTATATTTTACTGGTGTAGAAATTGTGCCAATCCCACAAAGGAGTTTGCTGTACTGCGTGCTCTACTCTCTCATTTCTGTTTACCGAAAGTCATTCCTCTCCCCCTCTTTCTCCCACCTCCCCATTTCCTCTTCAGGAAAGTACTCGGAGTACAAGCCCAGCTGGCCCCCAGAGCCCATCGGACAAAACAAGTTATGGAAGACCAATCGCAACAGCTCACATCTGCCACGCCCCCCTCCTGGCCTAACTAATCAGAAGCAGGCCTCGCCTTCCCCATGGGGTAGCGGAGGCCCGCGGTTGGCCCGGAGCTGGGGTGGGGGCGGGATTAATCAAGAGTCAAGATTTGGGCCAGGTACTGTTCCCAGGGAAAAGATTTTAGTTCTTTTTCATAACCGTTTGTCAACTTATGACGGACCTATATACTATATAGAGGAAGCTCTTCTTGACAGTGATATGATGACTCGGGTCTTACTAAAGTTTTATGAAACCTAGCAAAAAAAGTAGTCTCTTTGTAAATATGGTAATCGTCAGCGCATTCATTGTGTTTGTCATCAGCTCTGACGTCCTTGATAATTGTTTTGTCCTGCTCTTCATTACCGTTTGTCTCTTCTCTCCTTTTTTCTTCGTAGGCTCAGCTTGGAGCGATGGCATTGCCTCCAGAAGCAGCTGTTGGTTGCTGCTGAGCAACCTGACCCCTCAGGTAAGGAGTGACAGAGGTTGAAATATGTTATATATATGTTGCCAGCTGTAAATCTGCGGTCTGTAAACTAAGATAGTGCGGATGAGGAAAAGATGGGAATGCTGTTCAAGCAATGTAGAATTCAAATGTTCTCACAATCCTTCACCACAGCAGATTTGTTTATGGCTTAAAAAGTAAAACAGCTGCCCAGACAGATTGCTCGGGGGTTTGAATTCAACAACATTAAACCGCTGTGCTCATTCATCTGAATTTCCCTTCAGTCCGTCTTATGCAAATTAGGCGTAATGATGTGTGACCCAGCTGTAATTGGATTGTGAAGCCGGATGAGCCATTTAATCAATTGGGGATTACACAAACGACACTTTTGCATGACACTGCTCTGGGAAAGCGTAGAAGTCTAGACAAAGTTTTTGTTTTACTAATATAGATTATTAATATTTTTTTACAACTCGGTGCTCATGTGGACAGGCTTGCACAACTTGTGTATCTCATTGTCAGTGTGACAGGATTACAGACTGATAAAGCCACAGTGTACAGTATCACTACATTATTTATTAATACACCTAACCAATGTTGCATAACCTCCTAGATTCCCTGACCTTTCCCTATAATAGATAATTGAGTATTGTCATCTCTCTCACACACACACACATACAATCTTTTACACCTAACGTTTTTTTTCTTTTTCCCCTGTAGATTGATGGCTCCACGCTGAGGACTATCTGCATGCAGCATGGCCCCCTGCTGACCTTCCACCTCGGCCTGACCCAGGGCAGTGCTCTGATTCGCTACAGCAGCCGACAGGAAGCAGCTAAGGCCCAGGGTGCACTGCACATGTAGGTTAACCTGTAAACCTCACTGATACGCACGTACTTACCATGAAAATGCTAATGTTGATCTAAATGACCGTGTCTTGTTAACCCTTCTCAGGTGTGTTCTGGGCAACACCACAATCCTGGCGGAGTTTGTGAGTGAAGAAGAAGTTGCTCGCTATTTTGCACATTCCCAGGCCGGAGGGGCAGAGGGCGCCAGCTCAGGAGGGTCAGCAGCCGGTGGGACGCAGGGTTCTTCTGGGTCAGGCACGGCTGTGGCCAGCAGTGGAGGTGGCTCCCCTGGGAATGAGCGGGCAGCAGCGGGCACAACTTCAGGTGGAAACGGCAGTGGTGGTGGAGGAGGAGGGGAAAGTGGAGCAGCGGCTCTAGGTAGTGTGAGGTCCTCAGGCTCTGCCTGGCAGAGTCTCGATGGTACAGGCAGTTCTTCAGAAGCCTCCTCAGCCCAAGGACCGGGGCTGGGGATATTTTCCCAGTGGAGCACCAACGGGGCCGGGGAGGGAGGGGGTGTCGGCGGAGTAGACTCTGGGAGGTCTGGGCTCTGGGGGGGCATGACTGCGGGATACCCCAGCAGCAGCCTGTGGGGAGCACCACAAATGGAGGAAAGGCACCAAATGGACAGCCCTGCCGCATTGTTGCCTGGCGACCTGCTGGGGGGAGGAGCTGATTCCATCTGATGAGCCCCCTCCATTTGTACATGCAGGTTTGGACACACTGATACAAAATACACTGGGATACATATGTACTTAATATAGCACACACACACACACACACACACACACACACACACTCTTACATGGTATGCATATTAATGTAATACACATATACACATGTGCATACATATACATGGTATGCATATTAATGTGCACACACATCAAGCAGAAATGTGAGACATGCTTACACACATTCTCGTGGCCAGACTTAAGCTATTATATAAACAAATGCAGGGACTGTTAGATGTGTATACAGCCTTTTTCCACAGATGAAGATTTCAACTGCTTAGACTTGAAACCTGAAAAAGAATGAAAAGTCAGTTGGTCTCAAAGACTCGACTGGATTGCAATGTGCTTAGTAAATAGGGGACTTTTCAACAGATTTACATACACATGCACACACCAAATACAGACAAGCCTTCAGACAGATGGGCACTGTAAACAGCATTACCTTCATCGTATAAGAGAACTTAATACTACTACATGATGTGAGGTTAAAGTGCAGTTTGTATTCACGTCTCCTTCAAAAAAAACAAAAACGGAGACCGAATCCAAACACATGCAAACAGCTCTGATTGAAAACAGAACTGTATCTTACTGTGTATGTTAAGTTTGTTTTTTTCCTGTTTGTTTGTATGTATGGTTTTAATTTTTTGAACAGTGAAAATATTGAAAAATGTCATTATTCTGTTTTCAAAATGCTGACCTCCTACTGTTGTATCTCACGCACTCTTTCTCTGTTATTCTCTCTTGAACATGTTTGTTACTGTTGCAGTGATAAATGTTAAATTGCTGGCAGTTTGAGGCTATGTTGCATTTCTCCATGTGTCGATGCTGTGCGCAGTGTCATACACACTATATGGACACGAGTATGAGTGAGATTGAGACCAAGTAAGTGGATTAAACCACAGTTTTTGTGCGTGTGTGTGAATGTGAGGATAATGTGTGTATGCATGTTACTGCCTGTCATAATGTGGGCAAGGCTGCTTACTCTACAGAAGGTCTATACAAAAATGTTTTTGAGTGCATTCGGTATACTGCTGACTGTGTGTTAAGAAATATTGGCACTAATGCTTTTTTTTTTTTCTCTCTCTCATTTGAAGTTGTTTGTTTTTTAGCATACTTGTATTTTTTATTGTCCGACCTGCAATAATAAAAAAGAACATTTAATGACACAAAGAGCTGAAGGCATATGCGTTGAGTAAATGGACATGCCAAATCTTATCAAACTGTGTGGAGTGGGAGGGAGGGGTGGGACGGGTTGTTTACAGATGCAGAGTAAGAGTTACCGTACGTTTTTAATGTTCTGTTGTTGTGTATTCGTTTTAAATTAAGACAGGCTTTAACACTCCTGTTCAGTGTTTTCGTTATGAGATTTTACAAAGGAAAAATTTATTTAAACAAATGAGAACAAGATTAATAAAGATGAAAGTATTGGCTTCTAAATATGTCCTTGTGATAATTATTTTTTGTGTATGAATATAGGTTTCTGGATAGTGGTTAAAAGTACATGTTTTTGTGTTTAGTACCGTCTGTTAAATCAATCCTAGTTAGAAACTTCCGTTCCGTATCGGTTCCTCTGCTATAATGCACACGAGAACACGAAGTCCTGCACAGAATATTCACTATGAAAAACAAATGATTTGTGCATGATGAGTTTGACAAAGAATTTACATCAAGGGAAAGACGGGTCCACAGAAAAACAAGCCAGCGTGTCCATCTGTTGGCCTCATTACATCCACAAACCAATCCTATTTAACACCCGCGTCATCCTACAGTAAGCCACTGATGACTATGAAATAAGTTACCTTTTCTCATGCAGTTATGGGTTTTCAGTGTCTTCAGTGGACACACTGTTGCCAACAAAAACTTTATTATAGTCCACTTTTTTTTTTTTTTTTTTGCCCCCATAGATTTAAGCCTGGGTTGAAAGAATTTCCTCAACATTACCGGTCTCAAATATGTGCAGATAAACATAAACATCACAATTTGTAGAACACAATAAACTCCCAGATGTATTTGCCTTAAATGATATCACTCAGGAGATGTCGGTGTGTGCAGCCCTCCACCTTGAGTGATGGAATCACCAGGACATCATATGAGAGATGATTGTTTACCGGCTGATAAACTTTTCCACAGGAAAAACTATTATTTACTGGCATTAAAGCATGATATGTATGTGTGTCACTGCTCGCATAAAGACAACCAGTACAAACTGATTCACTTTGCAAATTGCATTGTGACTGAAAATGACTTAACATAAATAAACGGGATAATTAGTGAATGGTCACATTTATAGAGGAAGGAGCTGTTAGATGTGACGTTTTCCTTTAATGACAGTGAATGACATCACCGACGTGGTGAACGGGCGCGTTGTTAAGTAACGAGAGGGGGAGACAGAGTGGAGGACGGCCGCCCGTGCTGCTGGAGCTTCTCAGGGACTATCAACAGGGAGTGCAACCGACGACAGAGCTAAGAGCTGGGGGTATGAGAGCCGCCAGAATCCGCGTCCATCCTCCTCAGCCCAGGCCCCTGTCCGACTGACAACCATCGGATCAGAACCTCCACTGAACCAGCTCTCGGACGAACCCAGTATCGGGTAAGTGGTGGGTCGGGGAACCACAGAAACCAAGGGGGAAAAGGGGCCTGATTCGGCCGAATTGAAGTCTCGTATTCACGGCGTACAGAAGGGTGGGGGGGAGAGTAGTAGGGATGGCTATCTACACAAGCTAGTCCAGCACATTAATGGGTGCGGTTGTAAGTGTGATCCAAAATGTGGCGAAGTATGATATAACGTTACCATACACATGTACGGCTTCATTTAATGTCCAACATGATAATGGTGCAGTAACGTTACGTATCACGGTTCGGCTAAAGTATTTCCACTAGCTTCCTCTTAGCAGCTAACAGCGGATAAACGCAACATTAAATACCCTCCGTTGGTATGTTTACTAACGTAACTCACAGAGCCTGCAAAATATACAAAGTGTTTTAAAAAGTCAAAGCTGTTATTAGCTTTATTTTTATGAAATGTTAACGTTCGCTGATATCAGTTCGAGCGTTGTAACGTCAGATCATAACTGACTTCTCGACAAATTCAAACCATGAAGGAGCAACTTGTCTGACATCTTCCATTACCGTTATTAAATATTATACTGTAACTTTGTCTATTGTTAAAGCATTCAGTGTCAAGTTGGTAACACACGAGCTGATTGTAGAGTGACAGCTGCCCGTAGCAGTGCTCTCTTTTTCACGTGACTGTGAAATCCTCTAGCTTTGGGTCTCTGGCACTTCTTTACTTTTTAGTCGCTTTCGTGTATGGCACTTTCCACGTAAGTGGATTAGACTGAGTACACGTAAAGACACGCTAAATTACATCACACCTGGGATTCAGGTCATTCATAAGGATAGCTGGTTTAACCACAGTCCACTGTCCTGTAGACCGTTACTACGGTAATAACACACGGTGCGTTATCAGGTGCAACGTGCTTCACATCACACAGGCCAATCTTTTCTCCACCTCGCTGCTAAGTTCTCACTAAGCATGCCATTGCAACACCAAGTTGTCCCGTGCTCAGGGTTTTAGAGTAAACAAGCGAGTGTGAATGCGAGTGACGACCACATGTAGCAATCTTAAATATGCTGCCAGGCACTGTGCGGTTTAAAATTGTGTGTCACCATTCCAGTACCAAGCAATTAATCAATTGGCACTTACTGTGCAGCCCTGTGATTAATGTTGCGCCCTTAATGGGGTCCATGGCTACAGCACGTGAGACACCCTCTTGGTGTAATGAAACCCAACCCTTTTTATTAACCCAAATCTATCTTCCTCCATCACATCAATGATGGCAGGTTGTCCTCTAATCAGCCAGAGTTGACAAGGTCTAGGCCTAGGGCATCTTGCAATATGTTGGTTAAGTTGATTTTTTTTTTTTTTTTTTTTTTTTTACTTGCAAGGGCTGTGCAATGCAGTTTGATCCTTTTTTAAACAAGGCTCGGATGATCCAACATACAATTACCAAGTCAGCCATCGTCATCGTTTTTAAGTAGTTTTAGAACAGAGCTGGTGTCTGCAGTGCTTACAATCAAGCAAAGTAACTTCTGGGATAATTTATGTTGGGACAAAGGAGGCTCTGGATGAAAGCAGACGGAATGCAATGGACTGATCCTGCAGAATTGATGACTCTTCCTCTGCTCGCTTGATTTGGCACGTCCACAAAACTGAGGTTTCTGAGAATGCTTTGTTTCGCCATTTCTGAGTTGGTTTGAGACTATTTCTATAAGGGATGAGGATTGAGGCAGGAATCTGTTACATTGTTATGTTCCATTTTAGGACTAGGCAATATATCGATATATGTTTATATACATATGTGTGTATATGTGTGTATATAAAGTTAGCTATACGTTTGTTATTTGAAGATGCAGCCGTGCTGAATCTGGAACGAGAGGTCTCCGTCGCTATAAAGGTTTCAGTTTGTTTACATAGTGTTCCCAAATTGGTGGTTGAGGAAGCAAATCTCTTTGATAAAAGATGCTCTGCGTCGACACGTTCTCTGCAGCACTTTGCTGTCTGAAGTTCGTCGCGCGGCGCTGTCTGAGGGCCTTGACACAGATTGAGCCAGCCAGCGCTCCGCGGCCACTCGTGCCTTCTCTCCCATGGCAGTGCTCGTACAGAACAGTGGAGAGCTTAGTCTTGCTTTTGCAGTGGCTGCACAATGTGGCGTGGTAGAGAGCGTACTAAATAAATGATGATCCTGCTCCAGCGTCACGTGCAGGTCAGCTCAGAAGACGCACTTCATTTCCTCGTGTGTGTGCCAAGTTTTAGCACTCATAAAGCAGTTGCATTTGTTCCAAGTTGCATTTCTATTTAGCCCTCAGTTCTGCTGTCTTTCTTTCTCCTGCCTTCCCTGCTTTATGCTGATCTCACTGCAACCACCTCCCCCTCCCAGCGGACATATGAATCTAATCGTGTGTTTGTGGAGGTTTCTGGAGGCCAGACAGCTGTTAGCTGATCAGCTAGCCATGCCCAGGCTACATTCTCACACAAAACACGTGGTTAGTGTGTCTGGCCGGATCATCCTGTGAGCAGCTGACTCTTGATGATATCTTCACTCTATCACTGTGCTCGCAGATGAGCAAGCACTGTGTCACGTGTCCTTAGCCTTCTTCTAATCCTCTCTGTTTGTCTGTTGGTGACAGTGACAACTCGTAAACATGGAGCTGAGAGTGGGGAACAAGTACCGGCTCGGACGAAAGATAGGGAGTGGCTCCTTTGGCGACATTTACCTTGGTAAGTTGTTTTTGTGTTTGAATGCCATGCCCAACCTTTCATGTGTTTCTTCTGTTAAGGGTCTTTCCACAGTTGTTTCTGGACAGTCTTTCTTTTCATACTGTAACTTTAATTTATCTTAACTTATCTTGGCACCAAACCTGATTTTCCTTCATATTCATCCATCATTTGCCTGGTACTGGCACAATTGCAATGGCTCTTACAGCTGTAGTTCAATTCAAGTGTCAAACTGTACACATTATGATAATAACGATAATATTAGTACAAAAACAAGCTCACCACATTGTGACAATACTGATAGTTGTACCTTTTGTGTGTCTCCTCAGGTGCCAACATTGCCACCGGTGAGGAGGTAGCCATCAAGCTGGAATGTGTGAAGACCAAACACCCACAGTTGCACATTGAAAGCAAGTTCTACAAGATGATGCAAGGAGGAGGTAAAGAGTCAATGCTGCTTTGACAGGCTTGGCAAGATTGTTTTCAAGCATTCCTTATCAAATGTCATGTTTTTCATCTTTTCAAATTATTGTAATCTAAATCCACGCTGTATTTGATCCAAATAATGGCAAGTAAAATACTATAAACTGCAGGTGTGCCAGACTGCCAGTAAAACAGGTGCTGTGTGTGTGTGTGTGTGTGTGTGTGTGTTCTAGTGGGTATTCCATCGATAAAGTGGTGTGGTGCCGAGGGAGACTACAACGTGATGGTTATGGAGCTGCTTGGTCCCAGTCTGGAGGACCTGTTCAACTTCTGCTCCCGGAAGTTCAGCCTAAAGACTGTCCTGCTTTTGGCAGACCAGATGGTATGACACAACCCCACATGTTAACTCACGGGCGTTAGAATTAGGACAGTTTCACAACCCCCCTCAGTAACGGTCCCACTGTGTGAAACAGTTCTGTTTACGAGTAGAACGCAGAGACGTACTATTTATGATCCCATTAGGTTATGTGCATGACCTACTTTAATTTTATTTGTTGGTGCATGATCTATCTATCTATCTATCTATCTATCACGCGATTCCACTAAGGCTTCTTTGAAGATTGTAGATGTTTAGTCTCCTCTACTCTTGTGCAGCCAGTGTACTCCATAATTCTGGCCTCCTCTTCTTAGACTGTGCTGACCTATATGTTTCATTTCATACATGGCTTGTTCAAACGCAACTCCTCTCACCTTTTTGTTCTAACCGCAGCCAGGTTGCTGTGTCAGTCCTCCATAAGGGCGCTTGCCTCTCCACTTATAGCCTGGGGTCATCACCTGCCCTTGTCCTGCCTTCATATATCCTGCTGACCTCCTTTTATGTCCTTAGTTTGCTCAATTTATTGATGTGTTGAGTGCAACTGCTCGGTGACAAAACATTTTTTTAGAACACAAGGACAGTATTCATGCCACCGTGACGCTGCCCAATGCATCCTTTATTGTGAACCAAAGTGTTTTCTGCAGAATCTGACCTCTTCGTCTCACCTTGTTTTTTTAGATAAGTCGCATCGAGTACATCCACTCCAAGAATTTCATCCATCGTGACGTCAAGCCGGACAACTTCCTAATGGGGCTCGGCAAGAAGGGTAACCTGGTGTACATCATTGACTTTGGCCTGGCCAAAAAGTACCGCGATGCCCGCACACACCAGCACATCCCTTACAGGGAGAACAAGAACCTGACTGGCACAGCGCGCTACGCCTCCATCAACACACATCTGGGAATTGGTAAGATACATTTGGAGCATATTGTTTTGATGAAGGCCATTGTGTGTGTGTGTGTGTGTGTGTGTGTGTGTGTGTGTGTGTGTGTGT